GACCATCACGGCAAAGTTCAGACTCCAGCATAAACCCTCAAGCAACTGCTGTAGTAAAAGTGTTACAGTGGAACCTCTATTAACGAGTTTAATCCGTTCTGGCACCGAGCTCGTTACCTGGAAAACTCGTCTTTGGAAACAAATTTCCCCATTTAAAATAAAGGAAATAAATTTAATCTGTTCCACTCCCAAAAACATCCATACTTGTATGACATTTTTTAATGTAAATATAATACTGCACATGTAATTATAAATGTTTTGTTGTACTGTTTTAATGTTTACTTTACCTTATGAAGAGTCGTTGCTGGCTTGAGGGAGGCAATGGGGAGGTGGGATGGAGGAGAGGGGTTATGGTGTGGAAGGAGAATCCACCTCTGAGTCAGGCGTGCTCTCTCTTCTTGGGATTTTCACCCCACTGGGACCAGGTTGTGGTTTACTATCACTGGCTCTTCTTTTCTTTACTTTTGGAAAGAACTTTTCTATTGATAATTGCTTTTGTCTTTGTTTTAGGATGTCCCTAAAACGAGACAGCAAATTGTCATTAAACATGTTCACACACCGGGTTGTCACTGCTTGATCAGGGTGATGTCAATGGAAGAGGCAGCATCCTCCCTTACCTCCTCATTCCCTTACTAATGGTGTAAATTGTTGATGAGGACCTGCCATACTCCCTTGTGAGATCAGTCACACAGACACCACACTCATGCTTTGCTATAATTTCCTTCTTCAAATCCACAGTAATTGTATCTTTCTTCCTCTTGACAACACTATCTTCAGCAAGCAGCTTCTTTGGAGACATCGTGTGTTACAAATTGTAGTTGCAAAATCACTAAAAACCCAAAGAAAAGCGCAAATAAATCCAGAGGGATGCTTGTCGTGTGAGATACAACAACAACACTGGCGTCGGAGGCGTCCGAGAATTTGCGAGAACCCGCGAGACGCTAGGAAGCACCATGTGGTTTCGCTCGTTAATAGAGGTGAGCTCGTCAATAGAGACAAATTTGCTGCGAGTGGCTTGCTCGTTACTGGAAAAACTCGTTAATAGAGCCACTCGTTAATCAAGGTTCCACTGTATATCTATTGTATTGGGGGTAGAACTATTATTGTACTGGATGGATGCTCACTTGACTATTATTGTTTGAGGGGTCAGATCAGCTGTGTCGTGCTTGTGTACAGGTTGGTAGAATGTTAACTTTTAGCTTAATTTCTATTTGTTTTAGCTTTAGTCATATGCAGTTTGCTTATTGTTATAGTGAATAGACAGTGCTTAAACTGTATATAAGTATTGTATATTATATGGCTTGTATTATTGCAGGATGTAACTGTACTGTAATTATTTGATCAATAAAGCCACAAGTCTGGCAATGATTTTCTCTACCTCAACCGCCAAGTGACCTGGGTGCCCCCCCAGAAACAAGCGATGGCAGGAGTGCTGCCGAAGCAGAGACTCCAGAAGGAGAGGCAAGGAAGCGGCCCAAGAGTCCCACACAAGACCCCAGCCAAGTCTGAACCTAAGAGGAAACCAGATAGGACTTCTGCCAGTTCACCAGGAACCCGAACCCGGCGAGCTGGAAAAGAACCAGATCCTTGGCGAGCAGACACGCGGACTGGCTGGGAGCCCAGATCAGCCAGTCGTCGAGGTAGGTCAGCACCCCGAAGACCTAAGAGACGTAGACAGGCCACCCCAACCCGGGTAAGGCGTGTGAACACGCGAGGTGCCAGGTTCAATTCGAACAGGAGACAACAAAAGTAGTAACCGAGAAGCCCCACAACAAAACGGAGCCAGTCCCTGAACCCTGGATTAATCGGGATGTGCCAATACACATCCCGGAGGTCCAGAGATATCATCCAAGGGCCTGGCTCCAACAGAAGCCAGACATGGGAAAGAGTAGTCATCCAAAAGGAGGGGGGGGGGGGGGGGGAAAAAGACCCAGGGGTTCAGACAGACAAGTCCAGAATGAACTGCAGGTCTGCACAATCCCATTTTGGGACTGGGAACAGATGAGAAACCCACCTGAGGGATGCCGTCGTTTTGACCACACCCAAGCGTACGCTCTCCAAGATGACCCGACAGAGCGCAGAAGAGGCCTGCCCCGCCAGCCTTGAACCCCCCGAAGGAGGAGGTTGTCTTGAGATGATTTCGGGGCTTTTTTTTAGTGTACCCGCAGCCCGGTCCTCGACCAGGCCTCCACCCCCAGGAAGCAGCCCGTGACAGCTGACTAACACCCAGGTACCTATTTTACTGCTAGGTAACAGGGGCATAGGGTGAAAGAAACTTTGCCCATTGTTTCTCGCCGGCGCCTGGGATCGAACCCAGGACCACAGGATCACAAGTCCAGTGTGCTGTCCGCTCGGCCGACCGGTTCCCCAGCGCTCGGCCGACCGGCTCCCCAGTGCTCGGCTGACCGGCCACCCAACGCCACCGCAGGCCGTCTGAAAAGATCTGAAAAGGCCACAAATCGCGAGATCAGGCATGAGTGAACGACATGAGCCTCCTACCATTGTCCATCAATTGGGTGAACTGTAAAAGGGTGGTCGACGCCCCTTGCGAGAACCCTACATACGCACAGAGCGATCACAGCGCCGACCAGACGAAGATGGGTCCAAAGGCGGCGCCAGCCCAGAAACTGGCCCCAGCCGCCTACCCCGATGAGAGGCACCTCGAGCCGAGGCACGATCACTCCGGGAGGAAACCCTCCGCCCTCTCCCTTGGGATCCTCGAAGGCCCAACAGGTCCGACATCGAACGACAACTAAAAGAGACTGCCTGCAGGAACTGCCCAACTGCAGACTCCACAAACAACAAGGGACAAAATGGTGATGAAAACTTAAGAGCCAGGGCCCAAGCAAATTACAACTAGGAAGCGAGCACCACCTGCCAACACGCTAGACACGAAGTGAAAAACTGCGACTTCTCATGCCACAGGATCAGCGCAAACAGGTTCAGCAGCACAGATGACAAACGTAATGCCGAAACCAAGGCACCAGACCCAGGAATGGCCCCAAGCGCTTCCACATCCTCAAGCCAATCTGAAGACTGTTCCAGGAGGGAAAAGAACTGCAAAACTGAAGCCAGCAGACCATGGCTTGTTTGCCAGCCATGGTCTGCTGGCTTCAGAAGCATGACCTCTTGCGCACTCATGGTCTGCTGAAGCCATCATGACCATGAGTGCGCAAGTCCTCAGCCACCAGTTCAGCCAAAAGGGAGGGAACCTGCATGTGAAGCTGAATAATGCCAAATCCTGCTGAAAGGCAGGGGTGAACAAACACGCACTGAGGTGTTCCAAGGTGTTCCTTCCAGGGCGGGGGGCAACCCCTGAAACTGCCCGAGTCTTAGAACCTTCTAAACCCTGCCCCACCCCAAAGCCCTCAGACGCTTCAGAGCCAAAAGCAGGGGGCGGGGTGTGTGACCAGAATGAACCATAGCAGGGGAAAACCTAGGGTGCGAACTGAACCATGGCCAAAGCGACCAACACTCCCAAGTCCGGGTTCCTATAAGCAAAAATAGGGCAGCCTCGGGGCTTCCGGGGTAGCAATAAACCTAGTGCATTGCAGCAACCTATATCTAGCATGCAACGCCTGAGCCACCTGCACCCGGATAGTCAACAGTGGACTGGGTGAGCTGAGTCACAAACAAGCAGTAAAACTCGCAGGACTTGAAGGTGTCACCAACCCACCAGGCAGCATGACGGAGGCAAAAACGGTGAGAGTCACCCTGAGACGAGGTAACAGAGCAGCCCTCAAACTCGCACAAGGTGAGAGGGGACCTAGGGGTCGCATCCATCGGACCTCTTGTGCCCCCGCGGGGTTTCCCAGGCCCCTTAGACTGGTATCAGTAAGGGTAAGCCCAGGCAGGGTACTGTGAATCGGCGTCCAAGTCTTCCAAACAAACTTCTAAAAGCTAAATCGCCGGGACATGTCCACTTACCGAGGGGGGGGGGGGGCTAGCAAGGGTTACCACTCAGAAACACAAATATGTGTATAAACCTAAATATAGAGAGGGGCAATGAACCTACAACCCCCCCCCCCCACCTGGCAGGAAAACCAAAAACCCAGCAGGACAATCAATATACCAAGGCAGAACAGAGCCAGTCGCTATAATAGGTGATAACAAGCTGTGTAGTACCGCATGCCCCAACCAGTGCAAACTACCCCTTACCCTAAGGTAAACAAGAGAGGAGGGGAACCCCCCCAGCTCAGCACACTCAGGGCGGTCAATTACCGAGCAGCAAAAGACCAGAGGTAGATACCAAGGTGACTTGTGGAAGATGGCCCCAAGCTCCAAGAGCGGTAGTTACAGGGCACCTAGGGGAGGTAACCCTAAGCACATGCAGCCCAAGCACCTGCGAATTTACTCCCAGTTCACGCACCACCCTGAAGACAGCACTGGACACAAGGCACAGCACAGCGAACACAAAATCAGAAGCCGGAGTCACACGACCAAGCCTCAAGCACATCAGCTGAGAACTGGGGTGTGGGTAGCCGACGTGAGGGGGATGGGGGAACTGCACAGATGGCAGCGCTGCACATGGTGACGTCATGCTTGTTTGCTCATTTGTCTTTGGGGAGTTCTGTCCTCTCGTTTAACTTTCAGTAGAGTTTCAACCAAAATAGGGGGTTTGTTTTGGGATGCTTACCTTTCTGGGTGCCTGACCTGGTCAATGACAGACACAGAATGCTCCAAATCACATGTGCAATTCTATAAGCCATTACTCCTCGTGCATCTTTGAGGGGGCCAGGTTCTGGCTCATGATCCCCAATAGGCCTAAGAACTCCATTCACACTAACTGATGCCAAAGTCTAATATATCCCCGTCAGCCTGGATAAGCTCCGGGGAGCAGAAGGGGGTCCCACTGGAAAAGTGCTAATTCACTGGAAAACCCACTAGAAAAGTGAAATATAAATAATTCAGGCATTATTTATATTTCATAGCTTAAACATGTATGTATAGGAATTACTGTATTCAGATGGGTGAAAACAATGTGACCTTCAGAAGCATACCTTCAATGAGGTGTTGACAGTGTTGGCATCCGGGAAGAGTTTCTGGCACTTCTGGAGCCAACCTTCAGCCTCCCCACTGCACTCAGAAGCCTTGTTCAAAGTTCTGTCAGTGTCCGGTGTGGTGCTGACGGTCTTGAGACTCTCCAGCATGGACTGCAGGTGTTTCTTTCCAGCCTCTCCCTGTGTTGTCACACCCACAACACTGGTATCTTCTGTTTCCAGTAGCCTTATGGCTGCCTTGTTCTGCTCTACCAGACCATAGAGTCTGTGCTGCAGCTGGTAGTGGTGAGTCTTCCAGTCCCTCAGCTGCCCCCGGTACTCCCCCAGCTGGCACAGTGCCTCTTCACAGTTAGTAATGAGGCTGCTGATTTTGTTTATCTGCTCTTCCACTTTGCACAGTAACTTCTTGCTGACACCGTTTGGAGAAGGTTGACAGAGTTTTGCAGGCACTGAACCCTCTGGTGTAACCTGAGCACTTTTAAATTTCTTGATAAGAGCCTCAATATCATAACTGATGGGGAACTCTACAGCACTTGTGGCCATGTGCCAGGTATGACAACTGTTACAGGTCACCTGGCCATTCATGAGAGCATCAATCATACACTGGGTGCAGAATGAATGGCCACAAGGCAGTAAGTGCGGCCGATGCAGAGCTTCATCATAAATGCCGGAACAGACTGAACACGTCTCTAGTGTGTTGTTATTCTGTGGAAAAATCAAGAGTTTAATGTAAGGAAATGCTTTTCTTTGGTGGGTCCATCAGTATCTCATTAAGCTACCCTCCTGGAAACTTCTAAATCATATATACCACACCAGGCTCTAATGACTTACAGGCATCTACTGGAGATTATAACTAGAATTTTGAAGTTGATCACCACATTGCAGTGGGAAAAACCACTGAAATACAAGAGTACTCCAAAACAAGTAACTACATGGACAACATTTGCAACCCTCACCCAAACAATGTAAACATTCACTAGCCAAAATAACCCACTAGTTGGCAACACTCACTTCCCACCAGACGGCATCCCAAGTCACCTGCACGACTTTCCAGTCCATTGGAAGAAGGGTAATGGGCAGGAATGGGGAACTAACGAGGAACACACCTGACAGAGATGTTTCAAAACAGTCAACTCTGGATTTCCAAGATGATCCCTTCAGTAGTATAACTAACTAGAAAAGTACAAAATCAGTCAGGGCTAACCAAGCTCATGGGAAATGAAGGGAAAATGTGGATAACCCAATAGGGACTCAGTGCAAAGACAACCAACTCAAAGATATTGGAAGTTTCAAAATGAGAGCACTCCGAGTATCAGAAACTATGAGCCCAAATATTCGCCAATGACGTATTAGAGAGAAAGTGACGGTGCTGCAAACATGTGGACATTATGTGCCCAAAGATGTACATTAGTGTGGTTATACTTAACACGCCATACAGCCTGCAACAACCAGGCCCAGGAACAAGGTTTGAGGGACACAGGGTTAACAAAGAGCATATCCACTAGAGCACTCCAAGTGGCATGCAGGGAGGAGCGAACAGCAGCCACAGGGCAAACAGCATGAACCCCAAGCTGGAGCAAGCAACCTTTAACCCTCAAACCTCTAGGGGCCCAAATGGAAGTCACACCCACAGGCGCAACAAAAAAAAAATATTCAAAAAATTCTTTCGTCTTATAGAAGTGTCCATTTTTGTTCCCTGATCACAGAAAAAAATAACAAAAAAATCGTAGGTGGCATATTTTAGCCGCAATAGGGTAGGGAAGTGTGGCAAAAAACCAGCGTTGAATGTAATGAAACGCCATTTTCTGGGTGAGTCCCGGAGGCTCCCCGGAGCTATCCCAGGCTGATATGCTAATGTCAGACTTTGGCATCAGTCATGTGTATGGAGTTCTTAGGCCTACCGGGGACCACGGCCAGAACCGGGCCCCCTCAGAGAGGCAAGGGGAGCAATGGCCTATAGAAGCCCCCGTGTGGTTGGAAGCATTCTATGTCTGCCATCGACCGGAACAGGCACCCAGAAAGGTAAGCGCCTCAAAACAAACCCCTATTCTGGTTAAAATTGCTACCAAAAACCGAACTAGTGGATAGAACTCCCCAACCGAAAACAAGCAAACTAGTGTGACGTCACACACCGCCGCGCCGCTGTCAGCGCAGCTACCCCCTCCCCGGGAGGGGGAAGGGGGAGCCCCAGACCCCCCGCGCCGGCTACCCACACCTCAGTTCTTGAGGCTGGATGTCAAAAACGCGAAAAAACGCCGACCGGAGGGAGTGAGGGATGCCGGGGAGCCTCCGGGACTCACCCAGAAAATGGCGTTTCATTACATTCAACGCTGGTTTTCTGGGGGGAGCCCCGTCGGCTCCCCGGAGCTAACTACCCACAGACAGAAAAAAGAGGGACTTACCCGGGAGGCGGTCGTCGCTCAATCCTCAACTCGAAGCCGAGACAACTGGCTGCAACCGTCGACCCAAAGCAACACAGGCCCGACGAGGCCCAGGGACATTCACAAGGTAACGAGCAGCCAGGACCCTGTTCGACCGCCAAAATCCCCGCGCCCGAATATCAGACCAAGACATATTCCCAAAGACGGCAGCAAGAGCCGCGAACTTACAAATGTCATGGGCACGGGGATAGACCACAGGCTGACTGGACTTAATAACCCTGCGGACGACCTGAGAGACCCGAACCTGCGAACAGGGAAGAAGGGAAACCGGATCAACCCACAGCGCGTCCCCGGACACAGAAGCTGTGGCGCGCAAATAACGGCGAAGCGCTGCAACCGGACACAAAACATGATGCACCCCCGGCCTGACCAACCAAGCATCAACCACCCATGGACCCCTCCGGAACGCAGCACTCTCATTCTTCGCCAGAAAAGAAGGAGACGGCTGCAAACGAACAAAACAATCACCACGACTAAAAGAGCAGAAACCCCTGCGCCGGAGGAGAGCATGAAGCTCCCCTACCCGACCCCCAGAGGCCAAAGCCAACAAGAAAAGTGCCTTGGAAAAACAATCCTAGACCGAAGGGGCCACAACGAAATGAGGAGACGAAAGGAAAGCGAGCACTCTGTCCAAAGACCAGGACGGCTCAGGCGACACATGAGCAGGCCGGAGGTGAAACAATGCACGAGACAGCTTGCAAAACGGCGCAGATGTAACATCGATACCGAAAGCAAGCTGAAGCCGCTCCGCCAGCGCCGCACGATATGAAGCGACAGTGTTTGGCATAAGATGACGGTCCTGAAACAACCACGAGAGGAAGGACAAGACCACCCGAACAGACAAGGAACTAACACGACGAAGACGCAAAAAGAAACGGAAGGACCGCCAGGAAACTTCATACTGCTGCCGAGAAGAAGCCCTCAGGTGGGACACCAACAAGGAGGCCACCTGATCACCATAGAGATGATGATAGACTCGAGTCAAAAAAACCATACGCGAAGACTCGAGGAGAAGATCGAACTAGCCACGTGACGTACCGGCCCGATCTGCTGAAAGAGGCGGAGCCGCGGGGAAAACCCTCGGGTTCAGACACCGAGCAACCAGCGCCTGAAACCAAGGCTGGGCCGGCCACCAAGGGGCCAGAAGGACAACTCTCCCCTGGTAAGTCTCTAAGCGAGTCAGGAGCAACAGCCGAACAGGGGAAAAAGGTACAGGAACCCCCACCTCGACCAGTCTAGCCGAAAGGCATCGACCCCGACGGCCTCGCGATCGGGGAAGGGCGCCGCATAAACGGGAAGACGCCGCGACCACGCCGACGCGAAGAGGTCCACTTCGGGGCGTCCGAACGTCTGGCAAAGCCAACGGAAGGACTCGTCGTCGACCGTCCACTCCGTGGAGAGGGGAACGAAGCGAGACAGGGCGTCAGCCAAGATGTTGGACACACCCCTTACATGAACCGCCAGGAGAGCCAAACCCTGAGAACTCAGCAGACGAGTCACCCGAAGTGACCAACCCCAAAGAGACAAGGACCACATCGAACCCTCGTGGTTCAGGCAATGAACCACCGGAGAGCAGTCCGAATGGAGTCGAATCGTCGATCCGCGGGCCACCCGAATCCTCCCCAGAGCAAACCACACTGCCGCGAACTCACGCACCGTGCTGTGAGCTCGACGGAAGGACGGATCAAAACGCCCCTGGCCGGCCTGGTGAGCACTGGTCACAAAACCCCAGCCGAGAGAGGACGCATCCATGTACACATCGAGCGAGGGCTCGGGTAGGCGCCAAGGCACTGAACCCCGAAAAACCCGAAGAGGAAGCCGGTGACGCAGCAACCGACGCAAGGCCCCAGGGGGTCGAACTCTGCGATCGCGAGAGAGGCGGAAGGGGGAACCCCGAAGGAACCAGAACAGCCGTCGAAGCCAAACCCGCCCCGGCGGGTATCTTGAGTTATCTTGAGTTACTACCAGACTACCATCGCGAAGTTCAGGCTCCCGCACAGCCCCTCGAGCAACCGCTGGGTGACCCGAGGGCCCTCCAGAAACAGACGAAGGCGGGACCGCAGCCGCAGGAGAGACTCCGGAGGGAGAGACAAGGAGGCGGTTCGAGAGTCCCAAACGAGACCCAGCCAAGTCCGAACCTGAGAAGGAACCAGATGGGACTTCCTCCAGTTCACCAAGAACCAGGTTCAACCCAAACGGGAGTCAACGAAAGCGGTAACTCAGACGCCCCACAACAAAACCGAGCCAGTCCCTGAACCGCGGATGAATCGGGACATGCCAATAAGCGTCCCGGGCACCAGTCCAGGGACATCATCCAAGCTCCCGGCTCCAAGAGGAGCCGAACCTGAGACAGCGTAGTCATCCGAAAGGAGGGGCAATGAACCCAGGGGTTCAGACGGGACAAGTCCAGAATGAACCGCAGGTCCGCGCAGTCCCGTTTCGGAACCGGAAACAGACGGGAAGCCCATCTGAGGGACGACGTCGTTTCGACGACGCCCAAGCGTACCCACTCCAAGACGACTCGACAGAGCGCAGGGGAAGAAACCTGCCCTGCCAGCCCCGACCCCCCAAAGGGGGGAGGGGCCACCCAACGCCACCGCAGGCTGCGAGACACGACCCGAAAGGCCCAAGAATCGTGGGACCAGGCGCGGGCGAACAGTGCAAGCCGCCCCCCCCCCCCCATCGCCCCGTGAAGGGGGCAAACCGCGAAAGGGCCGGCGACCCTTACGAGACCCAGAACCCCGCACAGCGCGAACACCGCACCGACCAGACGAGGGAGGGTCCGCAGGAGGAGCCAACCCCGAACCTGACACCAGAGGCCTACCACAACGAGAGGAACCCCGAGCCCTGGCACGACCTTTCCGGGAAGACCCACCCCGGGACCCCCGGAAAACCAACAAGTCCGACATCAGACGACAAGCCGCCGACGCAGCCTGAATAAACTGCGCCACGGCCGACTCCTCAAACAGAAGAGGACAAAAAGGTGAAGAACGCCTAAGAGCCAGAGCCCAAGCAGATTCCACGGAGGAACCCAGCACCATCTGCCGACACGCGAGACGGGAAGCATAAAACAGGGAAACCGCATCCCGCAAAATCAGCGTGAACAGCTTCAACAAGGCAGCCGACGAACGCGCAGCCGAGGACAAGGTGCCGGACCCCGGGACGGACCCAAGCGTCCCCACATCCTCCACGAGCCAATCAGAAGACAGCTCCAGGAGGGAAAAGAACCGCAAGGCCGAAGCCAAAAGGCCCCGGGCGCGCAAG